TGAGTAAATAGAGGCTTAAAGAGAATTGCTGTATCATCAACATATTGCAAATGCGTGATGGAAAGTCTTTTTCTTACTATGTCAACTCCCTCAATCACCTGTTCATTTGCTGCCTTATGCATCAACAAGCTAAAGGCTTCAGCAGCCAAATTTAAAAGTAACGGTGATAACAAACAACCTTGTTGAAGTCCCCTCTTCATTCAGAATTGCCAAGTGGGTATCTCATTAACAAGAACTGAAATAGACATTGTGGATATACAAGACATAATCCAAGTTCTCCATTTTCCCTTAAGCCCCATGTTCTTTATCACCAACTCAAGGAACACCCAATCCACACTATTGTACGCATTTTCAAAATCAAATTTAAAGATTAACCCTTCATTCATACCTTTTTTTCAATAAATCCACAATTTCATTTGCAATAAGGTTGTAATTAAGGATTTGATGTCCTTTAATGAAAATGAATTGATTCTCCCCAACTACTTTATCAATAACCATTTTCATGAGGTTGGCAAGGACTTTGGAAATGATTTTATACAAGCTGGCTACAAGGCTAATAGGCCGATACTCACTAATTTTTACCAAATTAACACATTTCTAAATTAGTGTAATCAAATAGGTGTTAATACACCCATCCATAACAACTGACCTATAAAAATCCTCCACATGTCTCATCACATCACCTTTAATCAGCTCCTATTGCATTTTTAAAAGAATCAAATTAAAACCATTTGGCCCTGGTGACTTGTTACCATCACAACTCTGAATAGTTTTCCATATTTCATGTTAGAAAAAAAGGCTCTCGGAAAACTCCATAAAGCTCTCCTTGAGTTTTTTAAATTAATAATTCATTTATTTTAATCTAATGGTTAAACCCTACCCATAAATATCAATAAGATATTCAACAATCTCATTCCTTGGCTCTCACAAATCCTCCACATTCCACCTATTGATCTCTAACTTACTGATATAATTTAACCTTTTCCTCATAAAAATCATTGCATGAAAGTATTTGGTGCTCCAATCCCAATCAAGAAACTATTGGACTCTTGCTTTTTATTGTCAAGCTCTTTCTTCCACCCTCAATTTCGTTATCGTTTTCCTAATTTCTCCATTCATAATGTCCTTTTACAATTACAACTCCAAGTCATGTATTTGTTGTCTAGTACATTGTATCTTCTTATTCGTATTCCCATAAGTAGCCTTCTGCTAATCTTTGATATTCATCTTCGTTCCCTTTAGCTTATACGAAACCCTTACTCTATTTCTAACAAAAAAAACTCTTATTAGTCTTAATATTTACAACATGACAAAACAATGCTTCAAAAATAACTTGAAGACCTTTATCACATAATTGAGTAGCACTCAACAAGTTATGCTTGGGACCAATTACAAATAAAATATTTCCAATTTAAGAGGAAGAGTTTTTACTTATTGTACCAATACATTCACTGTGACCTTTTGAGTCATGTCTAAATGTTACATTTCCTCATTTTCTTGATCTTAATTCTTTGAATGACTCTTTGTTTCCAGTCATGTGTTCAGAGCATCCACTATTAAGATATCATATTCCTTTTCCTTGTGCTCAACTCCAAGCATGTGCTTTCAACCTACAAAAAGAAAATTCAAACTTTTGATTTTGCTACCTAAACTTTCTTGGGTCCTTTTGAGGTAGTAATTTTGGTTTCTTTTGGAACCCATTCTAATCTCACTACTTTGTCTTGTGCAGGCTTAGTTCCTTTTGGAAACCATATCTTCTTAGTCACCTTGCCTCTTTGTGAAACCATTCTCAAAAGACAAAAATACATAGAGTGTCCTACTTTATGGCAACATATACATCTGGTAAAAACATCATAGTTTTCATTTTCTTTTACAAAGAAGTTTTTAAGGTGAGTTTCCTTTTGGGTGCTATCATATTCTAATCCTTCCTTGTCAAAGAAAGTTTTTTATGTCTTCAACATGTTTAATTTTTATTGTCTCATATGAAATTTTGAAAAAGATTCATGCAAGTCTCATTTTTCTTTTTCAAATATATTTTTTTCAATTTGGAAGTCTTTGACAGTGCTTTGAAATTCAATCTTAGTCTTGGCTAAAAGTTCATTCTCTACCTTAAGTTTATATATGATACTTTGTACCTTTAGGTCTTTTCCTCAAATTCAAAAGCTAAGTCATCATTTGCATCTTGTAACTCATTGAATGAATAAGTATCTTTATCAAAGGTACATGAGTTAAATTCATAAGAAGTAAAACACATCTTAAAGCCATCAAGTGCCTTGAGACAAAGGTTGGTAACTTCATCTTTTTCTTAAACTTGGGAGTCATCACTATCATTCCAAGTGGCCATCATTGGCTTTTTCTTAAAGTTCCTGAAAGTGCTTTTCTTGTTTGGAAAATTGTACTTGGTGCGTCCCGGTTTCTTACAATCATAGCATATCAAATGGTCTTTGCTATACTCTTTCGTGGGCACATCTCTCCTAGAAGGTCTCCTACTCTTATAGTTTCTCCTCATAAATGGCTATCTCCTCATCCTTTTTACTCTCACTTTTTGTACTCATCTTTTCCTCTTCTATTTGGTATTTAAAAGCTATCCCCTTTTTCTTTGTGTCACCCTTTTTTGCTTCTTCTTGATCACTTTCATGTTTTAAAGTGATCTCATAGGTGAGTAGAGATTCTACAAGTTCTTTTAATTTAAAGTTCTTGAGGTTACTAGCTTCTTCTATAGTCGTTACTTCTGGTTTCCATGACTTAGATAGGCTATAGAGTAATTTCTTAACTAATTGGGCATTGAGAAAATCTTTTCCTAAGGCTCTCAAACCTCTAACTATGTTTGTGAACCTCTTAAACATTTGATTAATTGGTTCACTTTTCTCCATTCTAAATAACTCATACCCAAGTATAAGAAGTCCTAATTTAACTCCCTTGACTTGATTAGTTCCTTCATAAGTAGTTTTTAAGGTATTCTAAATTTGTTTTGCACTCTCACACATGGACACCTTGTTAAATTCACTAGCACCTAGGGAACAAAAGAGAGTATTGTAGGCCTTGCAATTTATTTGTATCAACTTTTTCTCTTTCTCAACCCACGCTCTCCTAGTCTTAATAATTATCTTATCATCTACTTCCTTGTAAGGTGTATAAGGGCCATCCAAAATTATATTCCAAATTTTAAGATCCATAGATTCAATAAACATTTCCATTTTACCTAAAGCTTTGCTAAAATAATTATCTTATCATCTACGCCCTTGTAAGGTGTATAAGTTAGGATCGAGCTTGGTACTAAAAGGGGTCGATCTTGTGAACTCTTAAAGCTTTGCTCTACATTTTATTTTACCTAGGATCAAGCTTCTTGTTAAGGGAGGTCGATTCTGCAATTGTCCTAAAGTTATCTTTGCTTTTTATTTCTTTCTAAGATTGACTGTTCATCATAAGGGTCAATCCTCATTGTTGAAAACTATGCATTTTGAAAGCTTTTGATTCTCAAAGATTTTCAACCTTTTGTCAAACATGTTTTAAGACTGTAGGGAGTTGATCAAGTGAATAAAAAACATTTCAAATGCTTGTGTGCAAGGCTTAGTCAATTTAATTTTGTCAAATCAAAACATAATTCAATATTAAAGCTAACAAGTAAGTACAAGGTTGGAAGTATTTGAATGATACAAAGAAGAGTACAAATGATAGAAGTGAAAGTACAAAGAATTTGTAGCACAAGGATAGATTAAAAGCTAAATGGAAGAATGTGAATAGCTTCCTCTAAGTTGGTTTCTTTTTCTTTTCTTCTTTTTCTTCATAAGATTTGATGCTTGAGCATTTGATGTTTTTCTCCACTCTTCTAACCTTGTAAATGTGTTGGAAAAGTCCTTTTTATAGTTGGAGAAGCTTTAGAGTCGTTAGATATGATTTAGTAAAAAAACTAGTGGTTTTTCTTTTGAATTTCGTGTCTAACGGCTAGTTCTAAACCTTAAGTATCGATACTTTTCACTAGGTATTGATACTACTTTTGAGACAAACATCTATACTTTTGAGATAAGTATCCATACCTTGCATCTAGAAGCATTTTGTGTAAAATGTATCAATAACGAATATCGAGGTATTGATAGTTGTAGCTTAAAACATAAAAATTACTTTTTTTAAACCCAATTTGATGTCAAATACTTGGACATATCAAAAGCAAATGCAAAGGAAGTTTAAAACTAATTTAAACAAGTTTAAAAACTATTCAAACATGTTTAACAATCATTCAAAGAATTTCAAAACTTATTTGAGTAATTTTAAAACTTTTCACATGGAAATACGTAGGCATTTCAAAACTTTTTAAACAAGTTTAAAAACTATTCACATAAGTTCAAAAACTCATTCAAAGAACTTCCAAAATCATTCAAATAAGTTCAAAGATCACTCAAACAAGTTCAAAGTTCATTGAAACAATTTTTATCATTTTTGTCATTTCAAAATTATAATAATTTTAAAACTAATAAAATTAATAGAAAGAAAAGAGATTTAAAAATAATTTAAAGTTATTAAATATTAGTAAACTAATAGCTTGTGTTATATATTTATTATTTTTATTACATTAATGTTTTTAAGAAAAAAATATACTTAATTTAAGTTTAAGTTGTTTCGTCAACTCTAATTGTAGTAATTAATCGTTAATTTTTTTCATTTATTTATTTTTATAGTGTAAATTTTTTATAATTTAGTTTTATTTTTTAAACTAAAATTAAGGAGACAATAACTTATTTTTTATTTTCAAGAAGATGTAAAAGCTAATGAACGCATTAATTAGACCTGTCTATGGGTCAGGTGACTTGCGCGCTTAGCCTAAGATATTATTATGTTAATAAAAAAATTTATTTAATTTGAATTTTAATAAATATATTTAAAAAATTTTAAAAATAAATTTAAATTAAATGGGTTTAAATGGCCGGGTTGGGTCGGGACCTAACTTTAGAGACGTGGCCGGGTTTAAATGTGTTCTCATCTTGAATTGACTTTGTATCCAGGATGAAGTCACAAATATGCAGAAGCAAATAACCGAGATTACTGAACTTAATGGGGTGATGAGTGCAGAAATCAAGCAGCTCAATGAGAAAGGTGACCATCAGGTAAACGAAATGCGTCAACTCCAAGGTTGTATTGCCCAGTTGGAGAAAACAAATACAGATCTCAAAAACCAAGTAGAGGAGCTCACCCCGTTGGTAGTAAGTCTCTCTCTCTCTCTCTCAAAATGTGACGTTTAAAACTGTAAGACGAAATTAATATTCAAGTCAGAAACTTTCGAGGATGATAGATGCAATTTTACTCATTGTTATATTTGCACTTCAATACATCAGACAGTGACAATATTGTTCTAGCTGATTAATGATAATCTCACATTTGAATCCCCACATTATTTTTCTTCTTTCTATTAATAACATATCTCTTCTTGTAGATGGACGTGCAAAAGTTGCAAAAAGAAAACCTGGAGCTCAAAGCCCAAAATCATCTTCTGATGAAGAAAAGTGGGGCCGACATAAACCGTGCACTTATGAATAAGTACGGGAAAAGCAAGTCTAAAATAAAACGGCTCAAAACGGCAAACCTAGCTTTAACAATGCAGATAATAAATTATAATGATGATGAGGACCGTGAACAAGGAGGACCAAGCAAAAGTAACCAGTCCAAGGTGTTGTTACTTTCAAATCAAAACTGAACCATTAATCAGTTTGAATTTGCGTAATATTATCTCATGGATACGTAATAATTTGAATTATTTTGTTCCAGTTGAGTGTTTGACATTGGTTTTTCATATGTTCTTTTGCTGGCTTAGACTTGTAATTTTGCATATCACATGAACATGATAAGAGTTAAGTGTGCTTGAATTTTGAATAATAACATTTTAATCGTGTTACGTGAATCCAAGATTTATTTGTTACTCATTTAATTAATCTATAAACATTTTTACACGATAAGTTTATGATTTGTTTAAATTTTCATATAAATATTTTACTTTAGTATGACTATAATAATGACAATAGAATTTATATATAATGATTGATGATGATGGATATTTTTGTTTTGTTAGAATTGTTTTTATGATTATTAGTTTTAAATTTGAATAATGAAATTATATTTAATTGTATGTATTTTACATTAATCATGTTTATAGTGATAATCATATCTAAAAATTTAATCATGTTACTTGTTTAATTTGATTTATTTAATAAATATATTCCACGTTTAATAAAATTTTTTAATATATTTAATTAATTATACTTATTTATATTTATTTTTATAATTATTAATATTTTATAATTACATGACATGATTCAATGACTCTGTAACTTACTACCAAAGTAACCTCTTCTATTGGAGTGGAGTTCATATTGCTATTGGACTCTTCTGACCTATCTTTCTATTATTTATGATTTTATCATTTACTATCATTTTATCTCTAGAATATGTTTAAGTTAGTCGTAGGCATATAATAGAGTTTATCCTGTGTGTTGCGCTCGAGCGAAAAAAAAAAACATTTTGAACAAAATGTTGACAATAAAATATATTAATAAATGTTGTGTATGATTTGAGTACTAGGTTACAGAGCCTTTTTTGTTTGTTGATAAGGCCATGCAGTGCTTGAACAAATTGAAGATTAGTGTTCTATGGTGTGCATTTGTAGATATCTATGATGATAGGGGCAATTTTGTTATACAAAATTTAATATTGAATACTTGGAATTGTCAATTGGATTTCTTACATGTTGATTGCCTGATATAAATGTTGAACAAAAATAAGATTAGTATCTATTAGTAAGTATTTACAGATTTTTGCAATAGCTGAGGCAGTTGTTGTATGCAAAAGTTAACATCAAAGGGTTGACCTTGCAAAATTACCTAGGGACAAAAAACATGAGCAATGTTGGCTATCAGTGTACATGTACAAAAAATTGAGGTAGTAATATTATTAATTGGAGTTCACTTGTAGATTGAAGCAGTATTACCCAATCATTATAATGGTAGTCTATGCATCTAGCTTTAACAACAAAATATATCATGCTAGCATTTGTAAAGATTAGATATGAGACAAAGTTAGGTTATAGCCCAAAGCATGAACAATATATTTTCTCAATATATGATGAGAGATTAATAGACTCTACATATCCATCAGCAAGAGCAATCAAGATATTCTCATCTAGATGCTAACATTTGCAAAGATCAGATAAAAGACAAAGTTAGGTTGTAGCCCAAAGCATCAACAAAAGGTTTATCTCAACGTATGACCAGAAATTGATAGAAATTACATATCTATCAGCAAGAGCAATCAAGACATGCTCATTTGCATTACTATGGAAAAATTATGTAGAGAAGAACTAAAAACAATAGGCAAAATAAAAGGAACTTAGTAAAATACTCTAAATGTACCTGGTTTTGTATTTTTTTTTGGTGATTCCTCTCCTTTGGTGGTGATGGATTGTTTCTGCGGTGTTTGTTTTGGAAAAAGTTCTCTAGCTACCTGTGTGTTGATTAGGGATGCTAAAAGTTGTTCTTGTGGTTGGTTTAGCATTGGTGGAGGGGTTATTGATCTTGAGGTACCTGCAAATAGGAGAGAGCAAACGTCGGTTCGCTCGATTTTCAGTTCGATTTTTTGTAAAACTAACAAAAAAATCATTCTTTTCTAACCAACTGAGCCGCATTGTGTCAAAAGTTGGTTTCGGTTGGTTTAAGGGGTTTCAGTTTGGTCGGTTTTAGGTCGGTTTTTATGGTGAGTTGGCTTGGATAATTTATGGTTGACTTGGGTTGTGAAGGATTCAAATAGAAAAAGAAACACAAAAACAGATGATTAATAATAATCTTTAGGCTCTTTGTTAGCAATAGAAGAAATATGGATCCATGGGCTAATAATGGTCTAGAAGCAACAAATACAATGACATTAATTTGTTCCTCTTTTCCTGAACAATATCACATCTGGATATAACTTGTACCTATAATTCTAGCATCTCTGTTAAATCATTTCATGCTCTTGTTCTACCATGAGTACTAATAGTAATTCAAGGATGGAATACTGCCACTTTCTAAAGCAAGGCAAATCAGATTTTGAAACAATGATACTTTCTTTTGTATATAGATCACAAAGATTTCTACTTTTGACATGGTTAAATAATTTGGTCATTTTTTTTGTTTGACATAGGCCTTTTTTATATAATTTCTTACAAATAGTTATTTTAAATCTATTTATTTATATGTAATCTTTTTGACCTATTTATTTATTTTTCAAATGATTAATAATATTAATCTTCATGCAATAAATAAACATTAATCTTTATATAATGAATAAACATTAGTTTCAAAAGTTCTATAATTAAATATGATCACAAAGAAATTAACATTAATATTTATACAATAAATAAACAAAGAAGAGGTCCACAACTTAAAACTTTACAACATAAATTACTAAATTTCAAAATATGAATCTCCAAGGCTTCAACTTCAATTTTTAATGATTTGGCAGAACATGCTCCTAAAAAGGTTAAAAGCAAATATAGAATTAGTATAAATTTTTGTGGTAAGATAACTTAAATGAATTATAAATGTAATATAAATATTGCATAATACCTAATGATAACATTACCTGAAAATATTAATCTGACTTAAGCTCAGACTCAGTTATTGTCTCCAACGCAATATGGTAAAATAGCAAATATGGTAAATTGATTTTTGACAAATCAAATAAATTAATTATAAATAAAACTATAAAATAAATGAAATAATTACCAAAATCAAGTTTATCAAGCTCGTCCAAATGATCTTCAATCAAATTCGGATCACCATGTGCCAATCCACGTAATCAATCTTGAGCACAACTAAGTGTTTGCACGACCTTAGGAGTCAAAGAACTCCTATATGCATCAAGCACACGTCCACCGGTACTAAATGTAAATTTCAAAGCAACTATTGATACGGGAACAGCCAAACATCATGAGCAATAGTGGCAAGTACAGGAAACCTAAATTGATTAAGTTTCCATCACATAAGAACATCAAACTCATCATCATCG